CCACCTATGTTGGGTTGGGTCAAACTTGAATATATGCTGCCCAGACCCGAACCTGTCTTGGCACTTTTTGGGTTCGGGTCAGCAGTTTGCATGTTGGCTTAGGGCCAACCCAAGTGTTTTAGCCTTTGTAGAGCAACTATGACAAAAACTTACCTGCCCAACTATCACAACACCTGCCCGAACCCGACCCGCTAAGCTTCCAGGTTGGGTTTGGGTCATGTGATTTTCTCGCAAAGTCTGCCCAAACCCAACCCATGATTTACACCCTGAGGTGAATCCATACAGAGAGAGATAAATTAATCAATTCCCAAAGTGTAATAATCTCTTTAATTACAGAATATACTTAAAGAGAGAGATGAATAGACTTTTATGCACATAAGTTAGCATCTCTGTAATAAAGGATCATTAATACAGAGGAAGATACAAAGTTATTCCACGGAATTACTTAGGGAAAAAATATATAAAAGAAATGAATAAAAATACAATAGAGTTTAAGAGGGATTGAACACAGGGGTGTTGGTAAGAATAGTCTTAAGACAGTTCTTAACCACTACACTAGACTGCTTGTACTTATATCTTCACATTGTAGACACGTTGGCTATTGTCTCAGTGTCTGACAGCATCCGCATTGGTTGAGTGGATTAGTGAAGATCAGCAAGCTCATTGATCCCAGGATTAGCCGGCGTTATAGCTCCAAAACTGACCCTGGAGAGCTAACTTAAGCCCATCTCTAATCCCAACCAATATGGTTGGGAAGATCAGATCAGAAAACTAATCCTGCCTAATCCGCACACCAATCTGGATGCTCTGAGGCTCCATTCAAGCCCAGCTCCATAATAGATCACTCATGTCCTTTTTTATTCATAAGCTTCATCAAAATTACAACACATTGCACAGTCAGAATAGAATGCCAACAAAACTGTCTATTCACGATTTTTATGCCTATGTGATGTGTGTGTTTTTTTTTCAAAAAAAATAATAATAATAATGAAATAAAAATAAAGCAAGTAAAAAGTAGTTTTGGGCCTGACCTGTCTCTGCCACCTTTTGGACATAATTCATGATAAGCTTCTCCTATGGAGAGAGTGCTCTGTTTGAGGGGCTATGACTAGCAGAAGACAGTACATGTAACTTAAACTATGAGGGCTTCAATTTGTCCGCACAGGGATCCCAGAAGAGCCAAGAAGCTTGGACTACCTACTGAAGAGACATACATATGTCCACCTCCCAAACCGCAAAGATCTCATGCCCGGATTCCACGACTTCTTGACACATGTTGAGACTGTCCTGCTCTCCTGCACCTGTGACTGAGGGACCATCCACCCCCCCCCCCCCTCTACGTCCCCACAAGGATTTATCATACCGCTCCAAAAAGCACAAAACTGGTATTGGCCGTTTGGAGTAATCCAACAAGCTATCAAAGTTTGATTGGTTGGTCGTTATAGGATTATGTTCAAGCCCCCCCCCCTAAGACCATCTCCACCGCGCAGAGGCATCTGCATTTGTCAGCCACAGAGTAAATGTCACAGTGCCTTTCATGTACCAAGTAACTGCAACACCTGTACTTATGTACATAAGTACTTATCCATAATGTTGATTACCTTTACCTCTTGTTATCTTATCACTATCATTAACTTATCTTATTTATCTTACATTTATCCTATCTGTTAATTACTTATCTATTAAATACATACCTGTGTTCTACATAAGTAATTATCACTCACCTTTCACTCCTTTGTCCGTGAAATACCTGTACCACAAGTTATCCCTGTTCTACAGTATTTTCATGGTCAAATATTATTACGAATAAATATGTACATGTATTAAATAGCAAGTATTAAGTGTCAATAGAATTAATACATTCAATACATGCACTGATCACAATTATGACTACATTATTAGAGGATCTGTTAAGTACACGCATCAAGAGCTACTAGTACATTGATCAACTAGTACACAATTATGATGTCACTTACAGATCATGACAAATAATGATCAGTCACTCAATTGATGTGCTCATTCTCCTGGCCAAAGCTCCCTTGATTCTGAGCACTCATTCTTTCCCCCCTTCAATATTCTGGAACTTATAATCCGTGCCTCTTTCACTGATTAATCCCCAGAATATTCAGACACCAGTTAAACCAGTTAACATTTATATTGATACAGTACCCGTAACCAACATAAATCTTGTCTACATTTATTGTTCTTAAGCTTCAGTACTCTTACTCAACTTATCCACAGTATTCATAGCCTTGCTGAATATTCCCATCAACAATACCTGTTAATCTTCAACTAATTTTGTTAAAGCTTAATAAGTATTGTTAGCCCATTCCCTTTTGGGAATAACCAAATCAATCCCAGGTGAGTCTTAGTACCCTGGATGCCTATTAATACCTTGTATTGATCCGGATGCGCTGTTGATAGCAAGCCTCTCAGTAAAGACCATACTGATAGAGTGAAACCTCCTCTTTACAGGACTGGTATTAATCACCCACTACCTAACACTCACCACGCTCAAAAACTTCAGTCAACTCATAGTAACAACCTTTTTTACTATTAAATACTCAGGTTAGTTACCCAGAGGCTGACAGCATTGGTAAACTTACCAGCTCAGGAACTGCAGCGCACAGATAGCCACCCTGGGAAAAATTATCTTCCACCGCAGGGAGCTATCCTCAATCCCTCGTATGTGAAAGGCTGCCCTCTGGTTGTCGAAGGGATTGAGGAGAGGCAGGCAGGGTCCGTTTTTGTGTCTTTCGGGGGATGCAAGCGGTTGGTAGGGGGGGGGGGAGTCCGGATTTCACCAGGATTGACCCTGTGAAACCATTGGGTTGGTATAGCGATTGCACATCTAGCAACGCTATACAACCTGAGGGGGGGAAAACTATATTTACCTCCCCTTTAGCACCCCCAGTAACAGGGGAATTTTGGGCTTTGGGAGGTAAATTTAGTTTACCGCTGTGAGAACTCCTTTGGGAATGGTGGCAGTCCTGTGAGGGGGAAATAGCAGATGAGATATATCACGTATGTAATGATCTACTACAACTGTTACGGCTGGTTTGAAAGACCTGCCCCTCTATTGTACTACACAAGAGTTAACACAACAATTTATTTATTGTTGTGGCAAAACTGATGATAGAGAAAACTATGTGTAGCAGTCTCTTATCAAACCTAGATCAACATGGATTCAGCAGACTATTTGAGTGGAATTGTTGAGTAAGAGGTATTTTTTTTATGTTTATGTATTTTGAAAAAATGATTGACATATGTAATGATAGTGAATGGGAATTTATGAGATACTACTGGGAAAACAAATGTGCTTATTCAGGTATATTTTCCCTTTGTCCTTAATCCTTGGTGGGGGGGCACAATAGTTTAAGATCACTGTCTCTTGTTTCAGATCACAAGTTGTACTAGTTGTTACTTTCCTTTTCCTATGCTTCTCAATGTCTGAATGATCTCAATGGGGCACTTGATTAAGATCACACTGGTTAATGTATGGATTGATTGCTCTGTTCTGTCTGGTTGCTGATCAGATGAGGTGATGATCTGTTGTGATGAGATGATCTGATGAGATGAGATGATGAGATATTGGAATGAGGGGGAAAGCCCCTCCTTAAATAGTCTATTTTACAACCCGGCTGACTTGTGGTTCTAGCCCTAACCTATAATCTATAAATGGCCAACTTGTGGTTCTAACCCTAACCTATAATGAATATGCATCTACATAATCATCTGGCCAAATTGTGGTTTTGCTACTATACAAAATTCACAGTGTACCTACAAACAATGTGGCCAACTTGTGGTTACACTATGCAATAATCATTTTTTATGCAAATAAAATTTAAATCCCAAATAACTTTTGACTGAGTGGAGCTAGCCTAGTGGTTCCAGTGAGTGACTATGGGTTAAATGACCTGTAGAATGTGATTATGCCATAATACGCCTAAGAATATATGCCCTTCTACAAATTGGACTGTGACTTTATCCAATTTGATACTTGAAACACAATTGGCATACTACCCCGCGATACCTCCCCGGGTGGAGATGGTCTAAGAAAGGAGAGAGAGAAAGCAGATTGGACCGTTGTTGGATGTGTATATTTTTTTTTGGTTGGTTGGGGACACACGTCCCTTGCTTCTCTCCACCCCAGCCTGCACAACTTCTTCACTCTCACTCTTCTCTCTCTCTCTCTCTCTGTGTGTTTGTTTCTTACCCAACCAGCCAAAAAAGATTGGTGATGATGTTGATGATCGTGCCTGAATTCACACTCACACACAAAGACACACACAATGACACACACAATGACACACACAAAGACACACACAAAGACACACACAAAGTCACACACAAAGACACACAGAAAGACACACACAAAGACACACAAAGACACACAAAGACACCAAAAAAGTCAAAAAGAAAGTCAAAAAGAAAGTCAAAAAGAAAGTCAAAAAGAAAGTCAAAAAAAAAAATCAAAAGAAGTACTTTTTTTAAAAAAAAAAAAAAAAAAACGACCATGAAGCCCAAGAAAAGAAAAAGAACAAAAAAAAAAATTAAAATAAATCAAATTAAATTAAAAAGAAGAAGACAAGCAAGAGAGAGTGAGAGAGTAAGAGAGTACGCTATGATTAGATGAGAGATAATGAACCAAGCCAGCCAGTCGACCTGAAGAAAGCACAGCAGAAGCACCTCAAGAAGCGAAGCCCGAAAAAAAAGAGCCCAGCCAGCCAATCAAGGCCACGCCAAGCCGCGCAAGGTTAAAAAACAAATGAAGGAACGATAGGAGGACGAAAGAAGGAGGAGATCGTTCAGAAGAAAAAGAGTCAAAACCAAGACAACATTGTGCGCCCAAAAAAACCGGGGGTCCATGTGCGTCAAACAGAGCACCCGCAGCGGGTGCGAAAGACGAGAGAGGGGCCCAAGGAAGCCCCGCTGTCTGCCCCGGATGGGATCCCATCCAGAAAACGAGCGAGCCCGAGCGACGAAAAGAGGAGAGCGACTCAATGGTTCGAGAACTTGAAGTACCGAAGCGTCAGCCACGCGCCGACGACTCCAAACGAGACGAGGCCACAGACGATGGCGATGAACCAGGCGTATCCTTCGGTGATGTCTTGCCCCGGCACATGCACCTACACACCCCGCCCGCGTTTCTCTCCAATCATCAACAACAAGAACAAGAAAGAAAGAAGGGAGAAGGAAGAAGGGAAGGACTGACGTTCATGCCCCATAACCCGGTGACTAAGTTCATCGGAACTAGGATCGATCCCAGTGCGGTTAACTTACTCAAGACGTCGTTGATCTGGTTGTTCGCGTCTACCCATGACCAAAGAGGAACCCATCAATTCCGGGGGTTCTGTTTTCATGAGGAAGGAAGGAAAAGAAGAAGAGGAAGAAGAAGAAGAAGTACCGGTCATTTCGATCGAGATTTGGGCGAGATAGTTGGAGTGGGAGCGGGACAGGATCTTCTCGTAATGATTCAAACTATATAACCCCACCAAGAAAGAAAGAAAAACACCATCAACAAACCAAGCGAGACAAGAAAAAAGAGGGAGGAGGAGGAGGGGGGGAGGAAATACTTTTGAGTCATGGTGACGAGATGGTCCTGAATATCGGAGAGATAGAGGCCGATATCAGATTTAGGAGCGACGGACCAATTCTCATTACAGCGTTTAGCGAGGCCCTTGACGACGTCGGCCTTATTGCCCATGAGTCTGAGGAGGCCCATGACTTTTTTCCGGCAGGTGCCGATCCTGCGGAGCATGTCCGACTGTTCGACGTCCTTGAGGATCAGCACCAGCTCGTCGATCGAGTCCACCTCGTACTCGATCCCCTGGATCAACGGCCCAAACGCATCCGTGATGTCGTCGATCAACGCATACGAGATCCAGTCCGACGTCACATTGATGTAGTCTTTTAGTTGCTTGATCCGTCGTCGCACGTTTTGCGGATGCGGCGTCGCTCGGAAATGGAACTATCATTCGTAAGACGTCATCATCTTCTTCTTCTTTCTTGGTCTGATCAACAGCCGGAATGAAACTTACCGATAAAGTGCCTTCCCGGAACACAATGATGTAGATATTCAAGGGCTCGAGATAGGTAGGACTGTACGGATCCTGATCGAACGAGCGGAAACAGACGAGATAGTAATTCCGAAAGAGCTCGATTTTCTCCCGCGTTTCTTCCATCTGGATATCTTCCGTCGTCAACGGATGGATCCCAAACACCTAGATCCCACCCAACATCTTAGCTTCACAAGAAAAAAAAAAAAAAAGACCAAGAAGAAGAAGAGGGAGAAGACGAAACTTTACTAAGAACTTTCATTTCCTGATCGGTAGGAGAAAGCACGTCCAACCACCAAGTAGAAGCCTCGGCGTCCTCATCGGACCTAAGAAGGACGCCAGACCTCGACCTAGGCTTTGCGTTCTTGGACGACTCGTCATTATCGGGGGAGGCAGTCGCGAGGGGATCGATTGTGGAGGAGCGGAGGTTGGGCCCGGCGGCGGCGGCGATTTGGGCATCTGTTAGAAGACCCAAGTCGTTAGGATTAGGGACCGATGAAGAGTTAGTGAAGGAGGAGGAGGAGTGGCCGATGTTTGGGCCGGGGGGCTCGGCGGTCAATGTATCTGCGCCAGGGATATCGACGGAGGAGGAGGATTGTTGTTGTTGTTGAGTCCTGCCGAGAAAGAGCTCTTCCAAGGTCTGCCCTTTGCCTGGGATTTCAGAGAGACTACGAGCATGGATGGTAGAGGGGAGAGCGTTGGAGTAGAAGGAGAAGCGGTAGGGCCGTTCGGCGGGATGATGAGCGGCCCAGCGAACTTGGCCGGCAGGAGCTCTGCCGGAGTCGTGGTTATGAGCGGCGGAGGAGGGAGGGGCAGAGGATGGATGGATGCCCGGGAAGCGACCCTTGGCAGCAGCCATCAATAGTCCGCCCCTCGGATTGTTCTCCTTCTGCTGAGGCCCACCACTGATCGCTGAGCCCGCCTCGGTCTGCGAGCCTAGACTGAAGCCGCTTAGTCCGGTGCCCTCGAAGAGCGCCAGTTTGCGCTTGGTCGTGCTCATCGGCCGCAGGTTCTCGCTCAGTCTTCGGGCACCCATCGGTCGACCTCCTCCTCCTCCTCCTCCGTCCTCCTCACCTCCCAGCTCGCCACTGCTCATCGTCCGCGAGCCAGCTCCATCGATGTGGATCGAGGCCGGCAGGAAGCCGATCTTGCGGCGCCGGACACCGTCCTTGATCAGCGTCGGATCCTCGTCCTCCTCTTCAATGTCGGGCGGAGAACCCAGCTGGTCCTCCAAGAGACTCCGGCCCATCCTATTGTGGTGGTGGTGGTGTTGGACTCGGGAGCCTGGAAAGCCACCACTGATAGGGGGGCCGCGATACATGGGCTCTTCCGCTAACATCTGCCGACTCTTCATGGTCTCCAGGGTCTCTCTTTCGGCCTGGGCAAATTCCTCGAGAGCCTGGAAGTTGAAGGGGAAGGGGAAGTGGGGCAACATGCCAGCGGTGGTAGTCGATTGACCTACATGTCCGAGAGAGTCTCCGATCGTCGGATGATGATGATGGTGGTGGTGGTGTGGGTCGAGGATGGGCCGGTCAGGGTCGGGGAGACGGGGGAAGCAGACGTCTTCTTCGGCCTGGGATGGACGCGGCGAGGCAGCCGAAGAGGAGTCATGGATGCTCGAGGGCCGGAAGAGTCGGTGTTGGTTGGTGAGCTTGTGGGTGGGGATCGAGCCCTGGGAGTAGTTGCGTCCGACGGCTGCTGGGAGGGGCTCTCTGATCGGGGCTGATGGGTCTGGAGAGGCTCGTCTGAGGCGGTCTCTTAGTGATAGGGTCCGATGGGAATGGCTGGGGTCGCTGATGGGTCGGTTGGCTGATTGAGGGTCTTGGAGAAGGTGATGATGGTTGGGCAGATTAGGTGGGGTTGAGTGGAGACGTGAGGATGTTGGGGGATGGGCTCGATGGTGGTGTGCTTCGGATGGATAACGAGGTCGTTGTTGTTGTTGTTGACGGTAGTGATGATGGTCGATTGAGGGGCTGATGAGTAGGTTGGATGGGGATGATGAGTTTGGATGTTGTTGTTGTTGTTGTTGTGCTGGGCTGGTGGAATGGATGGGTGGACGATGGTCGATGAATGCGCCATGGCTGCTGTCGAATGAGTTATCGGATGGTGGGCGCCTTGGGAGTCGGGGGAAGTCGGTGTTGGTTTGCTCGTGAAGCTGTTCGGCTGAGAGGTCGATGAAGAGTGCCTGTGGGCTTAGTACGGTTGGGCTGGGTGGCTGTTGGGATGGGTCGTTTGTTGTTGATCCGGTGAGTAGGTCTTGGTTTGACCATAGGATGTTGCTTGGATGTTCGTTTGGCTGTTGTTGTTTGAGTGCTGATGAGTTTGGTGGTGAGTGAGATAGGTCGAGTGTGCCTGCTCTTGCTCTGCTGAAGTGGAGTGCAGCCTGTACATCCTGATCGAGTTGGTTCTGTCGATGTTGCTGTTGTTGATGTTGTTGTTGTTGTTGTTGTTGTTGGGTTGGTGAGTGGTCTGAGTATGGGATGTTGTTGTTAGTGGGTGAGGGTGGTGTCTGTTGTTGTTGTTGGGTTGGTGATGGGTTGATGTTGATTTGGTGGTGTGCTCGTTGTTGTCGGTGGTACTGCTGCTGCTGTTGTTGTTGTTGGTTGTTTGTTGGTGAGCTCATGCTGCTGCTTCTTGAGTTTGTTGTTGTTGGTTCTGGGTTTTTTGAGTTGGGGCTTCTTTCTTTTTGCTCAAAGTTATGAACTGGCCATCCATACTCCGATCCTATCCGGATACCCAAGCCAGCTGCGGATATCTCCAGATCGAAAACAAGTTTCTGAATAAATAATATCAGAAATAAACATCAACCATCATGACCTCATCATCCTCATCATCATCTCAAGAATAAAACACCAATACATACACACACAATCCAAAACATCAATTGACCCAGCTGACAATCATCTCACTCTCACCTGCAGCAACAATCGAGCCCCATAAATACAAAAGTGTACACTCATATGAAGTGAGTGGCACTGCAGTCCCTGCTGTTGATGGCCAGACAGCTATGCACATGATCCAGACAACACCAAAAAAAAACAGATGGACAACTTATCAGCTGACAAGCTCACTGGCACAAGTAACATCCAAAAGCCCCTCAGGCTTGCTCTATAATTTACATGCAGATGAGATGAAGAGATGAGAGCAACAAGATTGGAGATGTGTGATACTAGGATCTTAGAGGCCAGGATCCAGAGACACCCATCAAGCCAAGAATAATCACACACCAGTGCCCCTCCTTTTGGAGGCTTGCTTTGATCAGCTTGTAGCCAGGGGAGCCACCACAAAGCAGTGGGCACTACTACTTGGGCTACATCCTCCACCACAGGCTTCCTCTCTGCACTCCTCATCATATCATATACCAACTGAAGTGAGACCTGCACCCAAACACTCAACCACAGTTGCTGATGTGTGGGTCCCTTCATAAGCAAGCCCCCCAGCTGATGCAGTACAATATAGACTCTTGCTACAGCCGGCCACAGCACTCAATTCTCTTGCAAAAACCATCCAACATCAGCTCTGTCTGCAAGCCGTACGTAGTGATAGTCAACCTGACATCTTTCCCACTGGATATACACATCCTTCAACTTCTTAATCCTCGGTATCAGGCCATCCCACTGGAGTTTTTTTCTGGGCAAATCATATGGTCCAGCTATGATCCTGAAGCTCTCTCATGATATTCTGGGGCATTGGGATCCTGAAACTGCAGTGTAATGTTTAGCATCCAAAAAAAAAAAAAAAAACAGGGGTAGGGGGGGGGAACAAAAAAAAAACTGATTAAATGCACTCTACAACCCGATCCATAAACTCCATACTTGTGTTATCCCCTAGATGTCTGTGTCTTGTCATTACAAGTCCATCAGAGAGAAAACTGAGTTCCACAGTGCTATGCCACACAGTCATCCATGCTACACCTTTTTGCCCCAAAATGCCTGAGCCTAGCCAATTTTTTCTCTTGCACCCAGAGATCACCTAGTATTAGTAAGAAGTTTTTGGATATCCTACGGGTTGGTAGCCGCAGGTACAGGGCCAAAATGCTGCTAACCAGCGTGTGAGCACAGCATAGAGGGCACTCTTTTTTTTGGGGGGGGGGAAAGGCTGCATGTGTGTAGTGTAATTAGGGCAGACTTGGTGTGATTCTCATGTGGCTAAGCTACACTAAATTTCCTCGGAATTCTGCAGTGGTATGTCACACTAACACTACAGTTAGGGCACATACCACAGCACATCCCGATTTGAAACTCATTTTTGGACGATTTTTTCTTTGTGCTTTTTTTCAAAACAGTACCATAAACACCGCTTTGCATGACCAACTGAGTCTGCACTTCATCTCCTTCTCACCTATCCCTCGATGCATTACATATCCTCACAAACTTCATGCAACATGTCCTCCTCAGAAACTATCTTCAACTTTTCCTCAGCCACATCACACCGTTCTTTTCCTGATCAATCATATTTTTTTTGCCAATCAATCATTTTTTTTCAACATGATTCATCCTTTTCTCATAATTGATATCTTCTTTCTAATCAATCATCGATCTTTTCCTTTTAATTGATAATTCTTGATATCTTTTCTTTCTAATTGATAATCAATATTTTCTTTCTAATCAAAAATTCATTTCTTTCTAATCGGTGATAATCAATAAGAACAAGTTCTGAAGTTTGTACTTGTTGGATGTGATGACCTCATGACAAAGTTGTATTGCTGATACAATGCTTATCTTGCAGATGAGATCAGTGATGATGTTGTAACCAAAAATGAGTACAAGTTAAAGTAGTTGGTTGTTTATTTTTTGAGGCCTTGTCTTCTGGTAAAAGCAACAGTGGAGGTGGTAGTTGTGGTACCTGATCATCGGACCCATGATCAGATGGTTGAGCTGGATATCTTGAAGAGTGTAGGATCAATCATCTGTGTGTAGAGTTTGTATATAATAGGGGGTATCAAATATAGGAAATCCACCATTCAAAACCAGTCACTTTTCCCAAAAAATTCTTTTGCACCAATGAACCCCAAAAGGGGTCAAATGAATAACCAACATGTTTAAAAAAGGGTGGATTTTTTCAAACCAGTCAATTAAATAATGGTGGATTTGGTTATATTTGATACCCCCTAATGTGGTTGCTTTGGAGACTAGAAGTGGCACTGTGTGTTTTTTCAAACCAAACAGCAGCAGCGGCGGGCCACTACGCTTTTGGCCCAAAAAGTGTAGCGTAGTGGCGCTTTTTTTTCATCAAAAAAGTGTAGTGTTAGCGGTTTTTTGCTAAGCTACGCTGTGGAACTCCTATCGTGCCAGGCGGTAGGCAGTTGGTTGAAGGGATGGTGCTTTGAAGTTTGAGGGCTGCCTTCAAGTGGGATCTGGATAAGTTGAGCTGTGATCTGAACAAAACGCGTTGGGGTTGGTTGGTTTTCTGGAGGAGACAACAGAAATTGAGTTCTGTGGCGGTTGTTGAGGTTGAGGATCTTTGAAGGTGAATATGAGGATCAGATGAATCAATAATAAAAGGATCAATAAGATTTGATGGGTCTATATGGGATCAGATCAGAGTGCCATCCTTCCCCATCATCTCAGTTCAAACTGAACTTTGACTCTGGGGAGTGACATGTCACAGACATGTCATCACATCCCTAACTACAACACAACACAACACAACACAACACAACACAACACAACACAACACAACACAACACAACACAACACAACACAACACAACACAACACAACACAACACAACACAACACAACTCAACTCAACTCAACTCAACTCAACTCAACTCAACACAACACAACACAACAACACAACACACACAACAGAAAAAGACAGAACATAACAAAACAAAACAAAACAAAACAAAACAAAACAAAACAAAACAAAACAAAACAAAACAAAACAAAACAAAACAAAACAAAACAAAACAAAACAAAACAAAACAAAACAAAACAAAACAAAACAAAACAAAACAAAACAAAACAAAACAAAACAAAACAAAACAAAACAAAACAAAATAATCTAGAGTGAAATAAACCAACATACTAAGATGTCTTAGGACCAAGAAAATTGAACAAGACTGTCTGCTGAGTAGGTGATTTGAAAAAGATAATAAAGAGTGATAAAATGATAAAATAAAAATAAAATCAAGATGAATGAAAAATAATATGAAGATAAATAATCAGAGGAAGTAGAATTAAATAATGAAATGAGAAAACCATTGGACTGAGTGGGGATTTGAGGTGATAATATTGAAATCTTGAGTCTTGATGATATTAGAAGAGTTGAAAGTTGAAATTTGAAATCTGAGCTGAAGGAGGTCTGTATAGGTTCAGAACAACAGCAAACGCTGCGCTAAGTCGGCTTTTTAGATGAAAAAAGCCAGCTATAGAAAACTGCTAAAAAGCGGCTGTAGAGCAGCGTAGTGGGCCCTTTTTTGCGACCCCACACGCGTAGCGTTAGCGGTGTTGTGGTGGATTTCCGCTACGCTACGCTTAGCGCTAACAGCAATTCCGCTGTGTTACGCTACACTAGCCGCTACGGTTAGTGTAGCGGCCCACTGTTGACAGCAGCATATGTGAAAAAAAATTAGTTGGGTTTTCAAAAAATCTGACCCCTGTGGTATGTGTTGTTGGTCAAAAAACATTTACTGCCAAAAATTGAAGATTGGCAGTCTGTGGGCAGCTATGGTATGTGCCCTTAGCATAACTGGCCCACCATTTTTGCTCCTTCTAGGATAGCTGGTTGGGTGTTGATACTGGTTTCAAAAAGGTGAGGGGCTTCTGTTGGGCTAGGTTGTTGTTGAGCCACTGGGAACCCTGCTCCTCCATTAGCTTTCAAACACCCAGTCACCAGCTTACAAGCAACGCTGCCACAGATACGGTATCTGCCCGTATCTGCCATGTATCACTATGTATCTGAGCCCCAATAAAAAAAACTATCTGACCAATCTGCTTTTATTTGCAAGGAGATTCAACAAATTTGGTTTTTGGCCATGCAGCTTTGCAGAATTCTCCATGATACACACAGTGTATCGTATCTGTGGCAGCGTTGTTACAAGGTTGAAGGACTGAGTCTGGTTCCTCTCCATTTACCTAGGGATGTAAATGGGCCGGGTTTGGGCCAAAAAATGGTGCCCAAACCCATCCCAGTGTGAAGGCCGGCTTGGGTTGGGTCGGGGCAAAACTCCCAACATACTGCCCAAACCCAAACCCATTTATGAGAAGTTGTATCTGGGTCAGATCTTGGGCCAACCCAAATCTTTGGGGGTGAAGCAAGCTCATCAAGCTTTCAGGGTCAAGAAGTATTCATTTCCATTATTCAAAATGAGGCTGTGTTTTTTGACATTGAATTGAAAAATGCAAGAGAAAACAAGTATATTATAGTGTAGTATTTTTGAGTCATGTCTTGATTGTAGATATATTGACTGAGTTGAGTAGTAAAAAAAGAAGATGCCTGAATGTCAAATTCATTGTCATCATAGTCAGTGTAGAGACCTTGCTTGCTTTGGATCCAGTCTTGACCGCATACGAGGGCCTCAAGTGTGTCTGGCTTCATTCTAGTTGAATATTTGCTGAGGACTCTTGCACTTGTGGAGAATGCAGCCTCTGATTCAGTTGATGTCATTGGAACCATCAATATTGTTTTAGCAAGCTTTGCAAGATTTGGAAATTGTCCATGGTGGGTGTGCCACTGGGTTTTAGTCAGGTTTGTGGGCCGTCCCACATAAAAAACCTCTGCCCAAACCCAACCAATACTTTCAAGTGGGTCAGCTCTTTATGGAAGGACCTGAAGGCTGACCAAACCCAACAGGACATGGGTCTTTCCAGGTCAGCCCGACCCATTTACATCCCTAGATCTAACTAGATCATAGATGGCAGAGTCTTCCTTCCATCCATGTGAAAACAGCCATACAAGTATTGAATTATTCTTCCTTGCATACTTACCTAAAATGACCAGACCAATAAGATTCACAAATCAATTTTCAGCTTACTTAGCTGCCTAAAATGGCCTTTGTCAATCAGATGAATATACTTCATGTTTTCCTCCCTCCTGTAGATCAAGAACATGAAGTGATCATAAGATCCCATGCTTCTTGTGCAGTCTTTAATCTTGAAATGTTTTTTAAAAGGTTTATGGTCAAAAACAACAACCATTCCAGTCAGTAAATCACTTGGGTATGTTGAGTGGCTCCCAGGCTTTGTTAACTAACAACTTTTCTCACCCATAATCTGAGTATACCAGTAACAATTTATTACTGGAATCATTGGCATCAACTGCTAGAATTGACCTCTCAGGGAAATCTTTCCCTTATTCCAATTTATGACTTCTTTATACTTGGTCAACTCAACTCAATTTAATGTATCAAACCCACATACACACATGATTTTGAAATAGAAATGATATGGACTTCTTTGATGACACGTTGGCAAAGCCACCCTCAATCACTAGTAGTTATAATGGATGATCACAATTCAAAATGGATTTTTCTCTTTTGTTTTGCTTGCAAAGAAATGGAGCCAAAGCGGAAATCCACAGGTCGTGATAATTTGGCACATATTCTGGAGGTAGTAAAGCGATGTGATATGAGTTTTTGATGAAGCGAATGATTTAGAAGAATTTTAATTTTGGATCTAGCTATTCGTCTTTGAGCTTGTCTGGATATGAGGAAGCTTTCGGCCCAGAAGAACGGATCATATCAGTAGGCATTTCCACGGTTGATTAGTCAAGAATTGCAGGAAAAACGTACCTCGTTCTCCCTACATATTCTTGAGTATACAAAGGACGACAGCAGTGAGGAGAAGACAAGAACCGATTGGTCCCAAAATGATGCTACACTCGGCGCAATTCCTAGCAGCTGCATCCGTACTGTGGTGAGGAGAGAAACAGCAGCTTGTTTCTTTAATCATTGCACCATCCTCGTCAAAGATCTCAGTCTTTCCACAAGTATATTTCGGATCGCAAGGTTCTTTGTGTCTTTCCAGAAATTGGCCGTCCTTTGTAAGTGTAAAAGCACCCCCATAGCGAGTTCTTAGAAACCATTTAATGAGCTCCGATTGTAACGGGTTCGGATATAAAATCTGAACCCCATTTCGGTCCATCGCCTTCGCGGGAATCGGTGCTTTCATCGGCGACGACTCTGAAAGTGCTTCAAGTAGAAATTTGCGGTTTCGGAGCGGATTCCTTTCACGCAATCCAGTTTCGATAAATGGACCTGGCGTGTTTCCAAGGAGCGCCGGGGCTGGGGCCAAATTAGCGAGATCGGTTGGAGAAGCGAAGATGTTGCTGAACGTAAAGCACGCGATGATTATTATCGGTAACCGCAACATAGTTGTAGCGTGTGGTTATAAATTTGTTTGGATGCAAGAGTACTTCAAGATGACGGGATAGCTGCGAGAATTTTCGATGCTTCAGAATGGTCGGTAAAGTATGTAGAGGGTTGGGGGAGAATGGCCACCGGAATGAGCGAGTGATCATTCTTCACCAGAGGCGACTCAAGCATCAACCGGTGAGGAATCCTTCGAAACTGAGAACGACTCGCGATCCAGGATAGGAACAATATTGACCCGCAACACGTTTTGATTTTCCCCAGACAGAAATTTCAGGATCACGTTCATGCCGAGCTGCAATGGTGCACGCCCACTGTGAGGTGGAAATGAATACATGATCATATAAGACCGGGTCCGAAACCAGTATCGGCAAAATGTTTCCTCAAGTTCTGATCAATCACAGGCCCGGTACAACCGAACTTGAGTACAGGTCCTTTGCATACCGGCAGTTAGGAGCGCGAAGCGCGCCAATTGTGAGGAACCTCAAGATCTTGTGTTCAAGTCCAATGACGCGTCAAAACCGGATTTTGGTGATGTTTTTTTCTGAATGCCCGACATCCCCACCGTATCTTCCCACCAACCAAGGTGTCGAACTTAACACAAGTCCCCTCCTCCGAGGAGGCGCTCTCCTTCGGAGAGCGTCCCTTGGGGACGTCCGATCGAGAGGCTTATGTTAAGCTCGCCAAGGTGTATGCGCGTAGAATCCTCCCGCCCCCCCCCCCCCCCCCAAACCCCTCCTAAACCTTGGGATTCATTATCTGCTCACTTTGCTCAACATGGTTATACAGCTATTTTCGAAAGGGGTGTTCCCTTTGACTCCCGAAAACCTTTTTAATTTTTTATTTTTTTTATTTTTTATTTTTTTACTGAACTGGACCTGTCAGAACTGAACTATCGATGACAGCTGTACCTCCTCGGCTGTAGTTCAGTACAAAGAAAAATTTAAAAATTTTCAAAAAAAAAAAAAAAAATTTGAGAGACAACTGGACAACCCTTTCCGAAATAGCTGTACATGTTTGATTAATCTCTTGAGCCCAAAATGTACCAAAACATGGGGTTTTTGTAACGTTTATGTGCTACATACCCATGTTAAAAATGAGTGACAGCGCAGGTTCACCGGCTGAGATGCACTCACCTTTACACATCCGCCTCAGGGAGATCGGATTGGGCTCCAAATTCCAATCGCTTAGCTCAAACCAATAATCACAACCCGCATTTGGCTTGGAAAGGCTCGGAACGACCGTAAAATTTTAAATCCCAATGCAGTTCTTTCATTATCTGTTTAGTCAACAGAAACAAAAAAAAAAATTCTTCTTCTGTTTTTCTGTTTAAATACAGCTATAACGAGAAAGCTTGCGGGCTCCGAAGTCAGAAAATAAAAAAAAATAAAAAAATCTACCGACTACAGCTGGAAGTTTTGGAAGAATACAGGTTCATGTATGGATGCATCATGTTGGGTTGAATTTGCTATCTTTTTGTTCTCTCATTTTCAGGTGATGAGAGTAACACCATCGGAATCCTGATGCAAAGTTCACTCCAACGGCCTTCCCTTACCCGCTGATGGCTGCTGCTGAGGCATCCCCCTGGGGGGCCGGTCAGGTCCCACCGGTGCTGCTGGCAGGTATACGGCAGCCTGTATTCTTGTCTGTATTCTTCCTAACATTCCAATTGCAGTTTTTTTTTTTTTTTTTTTTTTTGGATATTCCGACTCGACAGCCCGCAAGCTTTTTCGGTTTAGCTGTAGTTGAAAGCGATGAAATTTTAAGAGAACCTGATATTATATTTGAATTTGAACAAGGACTCATGGCGGCAAAACCATCCCTGGACACGAGTAAGAATGGAAGATCCCCATCAACATAGAGTTAGAAATATAAAAAAGAATCCACAGTTGAAACGTAAAGCTCGTAAAAATGTATAAAAACTCCTGGAGATCAGTCAAACGGTGTAATATTTTATCAAGTTTTTTTTTGCTTGAAATATTTGATGTTCTTATAAAAATCCGCGAGACGGCCGATTGGGGAGAACATGCATCCTGTATCTAGATATTCACCTTTAACAAGTTGATTATGGAGATATGGTTAGGCCATTAGAGCATGTTGTTTTTGCTGACAGCTGTGCAATTGATTAACACGAAGTTTCTTGAAAGACTGGCTTTGTTTTCTCTATATGTTTTTGGCAGTTAGGCAAACCGCCAAGGCTGCGATAAGGACACCACCAGCGATTGATCCAAAAAGGACAGAACATTCCCCGCAATTGAAAGAAGCTCTTGATGAATAATGATCAGGAGAATGACAACAACCTGTCTTTTTTATCAATGCGCCGGCTTGGTTATATATCTTAGTCTTTCCACAACAGTATTCAACCTCGCAACATTTCTTGTGCCTTTCGTGGAATGTGAAGTCGTCATTAAGCGTAAAAGCTCCCCCGTAGCGAGTCTTCATAAACCATCTGATCAGCTCTGCTTGAACTGGGGTTGGAGATGAAACAACCTCATTGCGATCCATCGACTGTTTGGGAATGGGTGCACTCATCGGCGATGGGACTGAAACTGCTTCAAGCAGCAATTTGCGATTTCGGAGGAGATTATCTTGATATAGTGCAGTTTCCATAAATGGGCCTGGGGCGTTTCCGAAGACGGTCGGGGGTGGAGCTAAATTCGCAAGCTCAGTGGGAGCAGCCAAGATATAGTTAGGTGTAAAGCATGCGAGGATTATTATCGGTAACCGTAACATATTTGTAGCTTCTACTTGTAAATCTATTTTAATGGATGCAAGAGTCGAATTGGATAGGTAACGGAATTTTCTGGGAGAATTTTGAATGCTTGAAAATGTAGGCGTTCAGGAAAAAACTCAACCGTCAACGACAGAAGTGAGCAATCATCCCCCGTGGAACTACTTCAACTTCAACTATAGTGCAATCCTTCCTCAGTGAGACGGGGGCTCAAAGATATTTTTTGATATTGTCGGCCTGCAACAAGTTTGAATGATCCACTTTCCTACTTGAAGTCTGCTCGAAGGCATTGTCACGTACTAACCGAAGATGCCTTGTTTTGGGTTAGTGCTTCTACGAGGCCGCATTTGCTTAGACGGGTATTTCACGACCAGGTTGATGAAGATATGTGCAATGAATAACGGCCGGGTCGGAAATTGGCATTTTTTATATTCAAGTTTTAGTCAATCAGAGGCTCGATGCCACAAGGCTGCAATCTGGAATTGCCGAAAATACAATGGGTAGAAGAATTCACTCAAGCGTTAGTTTTTTGAATGAGTTCCTCCTAGTGCCACAAAGCTTCTACTGAAGTTGGTTTCTGCTGAAGCTGATTGGATTGAGATCATTTGAAAGACCCTATTCATGCCCATGGCATGAGAGCCAAGTTTGAAAGGAATGAATCCAGTCGTCCTTATTGAAAGGAAATGTAAGGTGAACTGACTGCAATCGTTCCCCAGTTCCTTACAATCAACAAAGAAGTTCAAAACCTGGCAAAAAAGGGAGGAAATAACGGTTAGGTAAAGACATAAGTTCTGAGTGGTACATAGCAGTATTGTAAAAATGAGAATCCTTAGGAAAGAAACTAAGGAATGGATGACTTCTAGTGAAAGGTATGGGTCCCAAAACAGCTTTGGAGTCTTGGAAGCTATACACAATTTTCTGCAAAAAAATATAGACTTTTTGGGTCTAATTCAACATCTACAAGGGCTCTAGATTGGATGGGAAGTCTTCCAATTAAAGTTGATATTTTTCAGATTATCTAATTCTTTGCAAGAAAACATGCTCAAATAGATGATAAGATGGCCAGTACGTATGGTTTTCACTAAGGAAGGTTGGGAATATAAATATGCCTTGATCAACGTGAGATTGGGTATCAATCTCACCAATTCATTTGGATTTTAATTAAAGATTAAGAAAGAAGAATCATCACAACAGGGGGTATCAAATATAACAAAATCCACCATTATTTAATTGACTGGTTTTAAAAAATCTACCACTTTTTCAACATGTTGGTTCTTCATTTGAGCCCTTTGGGGGCCCATTGATGCAAAAAAAAGTTCTGGGAAAAGTGACTGGTTTCTAATGGTGGATTTCCTATATTTGATACCCCCTAACATGTCTGAATAGGCATTTTCCTCCATTCCCTTGTTTTTTTACTCAGGCCTTCAGACCTGATTACCTGCTGATAACTCTGTTAATGTAAAACATTCTGTAAATTTAATTCCAATTATTCTTACTACATTGCTCATAAAACTGAATATCCTTAAACATAGGAGACATATAATGTTATACCATTTTTCCCCTATCTTTTGTTGGCCAATCCTGTAAATTTCAAGCCAGAATTCATGGAAACATATTCTTCTACAGTGAATCTTGCTTAGAACAAAGGATGAGTCACCACACGTTTTTGGAGTGGGCTTGAGTTCTGAAATGATCATTTTATATTGGAGCACCAGGAAATATCTGAGGGCAGTAGGTGTCAGGTGACATGAAGTGACATATGTTACAACTCCATTGTTACTCTGGTGCTTGTCTGCTCAAATAACAATGGACCCTTTGTGGTCATCATGGAGTCCCAATCCTTCAACTTTGAAGTAAAACTGGAATAAAGGCAGGAGTTAGCTTCATGTCACCTGACATGTAATGCCCTCAAATTTTTAATGGTGGAGCAACTTTCCATATCTAATATTCTGAGTTTATATAAATAAGACCAAAACAGACATGTCTGAAGGGAGAAGCTGGTGCAGTAATGAAAGGATAATGTAGGGGTTTTGATATAAGTCTCAACTCAGAATCGAACAGACTAAACAAAAGGAATGTAAGATTACTCCAAACCGGTTTTTACTGGTAGAGTATTTCAAATATTGAAGATGAAAACCCCTTGATTCTTCTATTTTCACCAAATTGACCACAAAAGTTCAAGTTTTTAAAATAAAAGAGAATAGAGACAAAGTTAAAGATAAAAAATTATGCACAGGATAATGGAAGAATTCTGAGTAGAAGTTCATGGCTGAAGAGGTAGAAATATTTATTGATGCATTCTAAAATGAAATCTTTGGGTGATTTTTATCTTCCAGAGCTCCAAGAAAACTGATTTTCAAAAAATGCTTTGCATGTATTCATCAACTGTGAAAAAGGTTTTGTGACATAGAGAATACAACAAGAAGAAAAGAGAACATTAGCTGATGTCATGAATTATTTGGAATGAAGTGTTTGTGTTATGAAACTGACCAATATACTGTACAATAGGCACACAAGAGGATAGAGCCAAATACAGTGGTAATTGCACAACATTCACCACATTCTTTGCAACTGCAATGCCTTGAAGTGATTGATTCCATTTCACTTGGAATATCCATTGGCCTGTTTTCTCTATACCACACATTGTCCTCAGGAGTGGGAGCAATCATAGGGGCTACAAATCCTGAAGAAAATTTACGGTTTCTGAAATTACGAGGATCCATGTATGATACTGGGGCATTTCCATAGACAGTAGGCGGTGGTGCCAAGTTGACAAGGTCAGCAGGGGCAGCCAAGATAAATCCAAGCTTATAGCATGCAAGAACTATTGTGATGAACTTGAACATATTTTCTGGAATTTTTACCTAATGAATGGATCGAGTTTGGGAATATTTTTATGTGACTAAAATTGTAGAGATAAGCTTCCAAGTAAATTTTTGAGACAGTAGATGTTGAGGAGGAAAAAGAATGACCAGAAAAGCAATTAAATAATCCTTTAGTGAATCCAGTCCCACCATGAAATCTGAAAATTGTAGGGGAAAATATAATAATATTCCTCATGGGAACATGAGATCAAAATTTGTATTTGTGGTATGATCATTCAATATGCTTCAATCCTGTGTAGGCTAATCAAAATATTGATTTCATTTCAATTTTAGTGTATGGTTGTATGGAAATACATACACATCTATGTGAAACCCCAACAACAGGTTTCACACAGATTTCAATCTTAGATTACATAATCATCTCAGTCAAATACTTAGTCTCCATTCCCCCTGGCCCCCTCCTAGCTCAGTAGAGACCAACCTGAATTTTCTCTTCTACTTAGCTAGGTAAGCCAATAATTGTTTCATTATATCCTCCTTTCCTCATTTTTTTGTATTTCCTTTCTCATCATAAAGATTGTAGAGATCAACCTGACTTTTATCTTCTACTGATCAAGCAATTCAACATACTGTGTTTCTAGAATTGGTCTCCCAAAGAATACAGCTTTGTTCTTGAAATCACATCCACAACAAGTGAAGAATCCATAAGGGACTCTACCAATCTATCAGATGAAGTATCTCAAGCTTTGTTCCTTCAGTATATTCATTTCAGAAGATTACTGAGGCAAGCCGAGTCCCGACTCAATTTTTGAACAGATAGATTTCAGTGGCAGCGGAGAATGCTTTGCTTGAGAATGGTTGATCAGTTAGACTGAAAGGGAAAGCAAATATTGAAATTTGTGTCTTGGGCCTTTTCTGGATACTGTGAAGTTTGGTTGGTTGGACCTTGGAAAAGATGATACCTGAGTCAGCGTGGAACTGTGCTCCACATGCACCTGTTGGCTGGCGGATCCCTGAAACACACAATCCAACTTGGAACTCTCTGGTTGACTGACCAAGTCACTCCACTCCCATATCAATAAACGTTGCTCCACTCATTTTATATTGGAGCAAATTTTCATATCTTATATTCTGAGTGTATAGAAAGAGGATCACAACATACATGTCTGAAGGAAGAAACTGCTGCAGTAATAAAAGAATGTAGGAGTTTTGATATAAGCCTAAACTCAGCATTGAACAGACCACTCAAAAGGAATGTGATTTACTGCAAACTAGATTTTACTGGTAGATCCTTTGAAATATTGAAGATGCTTGATTTTTCTATTTTTACTGACTTGATCATGAGAGTTGCAGTCTTGAAAAGAAAAGAGAACAAATACAAAGCTCAAGATAAAGAATTGTAGCAAGACTTTGGATAAAGGATGCACAAGTTCATGGAAGAGTTCTGAATAGAGGTTCATGGGTGGAGAGGTAGCAATCTTTATTGATGCATTCTAAACTGAAATTCATTGGGTGATTTTTTTCTTCTAGATGTCCAAGAAACCCAATCAAAAAAAATCTTTTAATGTAATCATCAGCTGTGAAAAAGGTTTTGTACCTTAAATAATACAAGCATAAAAAATAGGATATCAGCTGATGTCATGAATCATTTGAGATGAATTTTTTGTGCTATGAAACTGACCCATATACTGTAAAATAAGCACAACAGAGAATACAGCCAATTCCAGTGGACAACACACAACATTCACCACATTATTTGCAACTGCAATGGCTGAAAGTGCTTGATTCCATTTCACTTGGTATTTCAATTGGCCTGTTTCTTCTATCCCACATGTGGTTCTCAGGAGTGGGAGCAATCATTGGGGTTTCAAATCCTGAAGAAAATTTACGGTTTCTGAAATTATGAGGATCCATGTATGATACTGGGGCATTTGCATAGACAGTAGGAGGTGGTGCCAAGTTAGCAAGGTCAGCTGGGGCTGCCAAGATAAATCCAAGCTTGACTTAGCATGCAAGACCTATTTTGATGAACTTGAACACATTCTTGAAATTTTGCTCAAAGAATGGATTGAGTTTGGGAATGTTTTTATGGGTGTGAATTGGAGCAATAAGCTTCCTGGTAGATGTCTTATAAATTAGACATTGAGAGGGAAAAACATGGCCAGAAAATCAATTAAATAATCCTGTAGTGAATCCAGTCCCACCATGAACTCTGGAAATTGTGGGGATAATATTTCTCATTAATGATGGCCAACTGGACCCAGGTACCCGCCACGAGTCCGGGTACCCGCTGTGAATTAGGACAGATCCATAGACCCGGACTCGGACCCGGCACCTGTAGGTGGGTACCGGCGGTACCCTAGGCGGGTACCACGGGTACCGACACTATGTATTGCAACATGACAGAAAAAAAAATTGTGTTTTTATAGTTTTGAAATAATATCGATAAAAAACAACTTGGGATTAATGTTTTTTTTTTCCTTTTACCTTTGAGCTTCTCTTTTTTTCCTCTTGGAGACCATCCTTCCACTTTCTGAGCACACCCGGTCCAATCAAGTTATTTTTTGAGTAAAACACAACAGTCATTCCCCTACTGATAGAAACTGTGCTTAGACGGTGCCTCTTCTCTGATACATAGTCGCGTCCAAATGAGGAAGCCCTCTCAACATCAACCGAAGTAGCTAGATTGAATAGAATCATAAAATCAACCTTAATCAATTAACAATTTCATTGTCTCGATTACAAGTTACTTACCTGGACAACTCAATACATCAAGAGCCATTTGCAATAGCCCTCCATGTGTATTTCCAGCGTGTTTTTGTTGGATCAAATTTCAGCAGTTCCGTCGTCTTCTGATTCATAACTTTCCAGATCAGCTTCTTCACCAGAGTCGGAATGGTCTTTATTGTATCTAAGTTTCAAATAAAGAAAGATCGATCAATCAGTGATTCAATTGAATAAGTATTGGAAGCACTTGCCTACGGATCTGAACCTTGGCTTCCTCATCTTCTGATCCCTCGTCCGATTCCATGTTCGATTCCAGGCTGCCTTTCTTGTTAAAGGGTTGCAATATGGACTGGACAATCAAATTCAGGATGTGTGCAAAGCACCTGATCCACTGTGAATCGCCTTTGAATCGAGCCCATTTGAACTTTTTCATCTCGGCCACCATTGTCATGTTGTTGGAGGCATTGTCAGTAACTATTCCACAAATCTGATTGGAAACATGCAATTTCAGCTTGTGTAAATGTAGCAAGATAGGGAGACTTCATCGTACTTTATCTTGAACATTAAACTTCTCCACAACCAAGCACAACGTTTCAGCAAGATACTCGCCAGTGCGACTCCTTGCCAGCCAAACAAAGTCCAGTGGCATGGCCTCCAGCTCAAATCTTCCACCTTCTTTCTCAACCAGACGATATATCACAATCCCGAGGATGTCATGACCATTGGGTGACTGCCAAGCATCATTCCCAAGGTACATGGCACCTACATGTTTCTGAACAATCAAAACCCATAAATAATTCATTGATAGATAATCTTATATTGGAATTAAAATATGATATTGAGGATTTGCTCACCTGTAAAATGTCCCGGTAACCGTCTTGAACAGCAGTATACAGCATATGGATTGATCTTGAAACGACCTTTGCGGAAGGCAGGTGTTTTACCACTGTGGGATGAAAGATGTGCCTGTGGGAGTTGTCCGACAAAGCTGAAAAGGGCCGTGCGGCCTCGGCACACCAAATAGCACACAGTTGATTTACCTGTAGTATGAAAACCTGTTAGTCAGAAAAAAGGGAGAAACAGAGACCGACACTTACCTCGCGAGGGTCAATATTGCCTGTGCCACTAACCCCAAGACTGACCAGACTGTGATTGCTATTACGCTCGCGCTGTTTGTTGAGACATCCTGAGGCATGTTTCAATAAATTACTGCAAGACAAATCGTAAGTTGGCCGATTGATTTTTGTGTTGCATCTGATTTGAGAATCAATATGAGTAAAAGAACGATCTATTGGATGAGAATGCTTGAAATGGAGTATCAGGAAGGCTCACATCTTGCATGGATAGGCAATCATGCGCCGTCCTTTTTTGTCGAGTTGTGTCGAGAGCTCTGGTGTGTTATAATTGGCATAGGCTGCACTAACTGCATTAGAGGCGGTTTTCTGTGCTCAAACTGTGAAGAATTTTGTCAGATTTCAATTGATGAAAGTCAGATGAATGATTTGGAAGAAAGCTTACGAAGCTCATCGTGATCGGTTGGGTCCAGACTATTATTAGCCTGTCTGGCCTGAGAGGCTCTTGACTGAAGGCCAGAGGTGGTGTTGGAGCCATCATTGACAACAATATTGGAATCTGCCGCTTTGGATTGTGTTGATTGGGGCCTAGCATCTGATCTTCCCGATGGTGTCGGCGAGGGTGATGGGGAACGTTGGCGGGGTCTCTTTTTTGTCTGCTTCATGATGGTATGTGGATGTTGAATCGAGAATGTTGCCTCTCCTTGGGCTCCCCAGGACTGTATTACTGAGTGAGGCTGAAAAGAAGAGGGTAACTTAATGGGACACGGGTACCCGCTCATGTTTAGACCCAAAACCCCATAACTGGACCCGCACCCGGCACCTGTATGGCGGTACCCGACCGCTATAGCAGGTACCCGCCAACGGGTGCCGGGTACCTGCAGACGGGTACCCATTGGCCATCATTATTTCTCATGGGAACAGAAGGCTCATCAATATTAATTTCAATTCAATTTTCTTGTATGGTTTTAACTTTTATGTAGGGTGGAGAATGGGCAGACCATTTAGGGTTTCAGCTCATGACCCCCAAGGTCTAGGCCCAGTTTGAGCACCTGGAAAGCTCAGAGACAAGTCATATAACCAGTTCCAATCACCTATCTTGATTGGTCCCTCATTCAATGTAGTCATTTTTCTGATGACCTGTCTCATTACCCTGACCCAAGCCATCTTAGTTGTATGGGAAATACATTTACATCTATCAGATGAAGGCCCCTAAGTTTGACACCTTCACGGCAGCACAAAAAAAAGTTGTTTCTCTGGATGACAAGTGACATCAAGAGGCTACATGTGTAACTTGGCTCATACTAGTAACACTTGAAGCTTACCTACCACACAGGCATATTGTACTAGTAGACAAAGGTGTGGTGGGGTGGTTTGGACACTTACAAAGGCAAGGTTCACCTAAGCCTCAGTGGAGGCTCCCCCAAAGCTACCTTGATTTCAATTGCTAGCAATTAGACATTCCAATTTCTGTGGCACTTGAGTATCTTAATTTTCCAAGATTTCTTATGATTTCTCCAATTTTATATTGGCAATGAAAATGTCACATTCCATCCTGTGGGCAAATCATGGATGATTTTAACATAAACTCTAGATTCCTGTTAGGTCTATCCAACGATCCCACTCAGTTTTTTTTAGTGGATAGATTTCAGTGGCAGCGGAGAAGGTTTTGCTTGAGGAGTTTTGATCAGTTAGACTGACAGGGCAAGCACATATGGAAATGTGTGTCTTTGACTTTTTCTGAATGCTGTGTTGAAGTTTGGTTGGTTGGCGAGTCAGCGTGCGACCGTGCTCCGGATGCGCCCGTCGGCTGGCGGACCCCTGAAACACATAAGCCCGCTTGGAACTCTCCGGTCGGCTTGACCGAGTCACTCCACTCCCATCTTCAATAAACATCATCCCACTTCAGTCAGTTTCTTCACTCTCTTCTCTTTCCTTCAGGACACAATCTAACTTCACTCATCGGCGTTATTCCTTAGGCTCCCCCCCTCACCCAGGTTCATCCATCCGATCGCCAGTCCGTTAGTTTCTCGGAAGATACCACAATGTCTAACCCTACTGATGTCGCTACTCAGGTAAATAAATCATCTTCATTTTTTTTTTTCTTATCCCTTGATTTGAACGCACTGATTTTTTCTTACATGTGCATTCCCGGTTTCTAGTTCGTTCAATTTTAGTACGTGGCTATGATTTTTGTCTCCCAGCCACTCCACCTCAGATGAGTGTATGTTGATGATGTATGTCTGATTGACTGATCGGAACACGAATATGAAACAGCTATGAAAAATTGTGAGTCATTTCTTCCATCATCATCATACGAGATTCACGTTCCTGATTTCTGATTGCACATATGTCTTTGGCAGTGATTCGGACCGGAGCCAACTAGCACCACTCTACGTGAGGCCCAAGACAGACCATTTATGACTGACCTTACGGAACGACTGACTTTGTTGGATTGCGGGTTTAATGATTTTCAGCGAGACCAATCGATGCTAACTTTCGAGGCGAACCCATACGTTGGGACGACGAACATCGTCAAAAAGCTCCAGGAATTGTCGTTCACTAAGGTCTCCCATCAAGTCCACACGCTCGATGCCCAGCCCTCTAACTCCTCCAACCCAAGCATCATCGTCCTCGTCACCGGTGCTCTTCTAGTTCGTCCGATCCTCCCTTCTTTTCCTCCTTTCTTACCCCCTCCTGCCTCGGGTTTTTATTTCTTATTTTCCCTTCCCCGGCCATCTTTTCTTAGGTCGACGGTGAAGAGAATCCCCTCAAGTTCTCTCAAGCGTTCCATCTCGTTCAGGAAAATGGGACCTACTTTGTCCTCAATGATGTTTTCCGACTCGTATTAGTCAGTTCCTTTTTTTCGTTCTCAGGTCGTCAAATTTTCATCCAGCCTTTGAAGACTCTTCACCCCTCCTGACCAACTTGAAACTTTTTTTTTCTTTTCAATGACGTCTATTTCTGTAGGGTTAACCTTGACAATAGTACTGAAAGTGACAACGATCAGCCCTGGTTTGAAATTGTATGACAGCCACTTGATTAGGGAATACATCGATGTATCAAGGATTGCTTTTGAAAACGAAAGAAATTATCAGTTCCACTTAATTTTGAGGCAACACTGTCGCATTCCAAAGACCTTGTACAAACTCAGGCTTGCGCTTCTGATGAATCCGCAAGTTAGTTCCCCTTTGCGCCCTTGTTGTAGGTTCTTCTGGCTCCTGCTGTCGCCCATTTTGATATCCCAGCTCCAGGGGTCGGTGCGGGCCAGGTCACTCAACCTGGCGTCATCATTGCTGCTGCCATCTCCATTGCAGAATGCCTGCAATCAAATAAGACTGAGGCTTCAAAAATGGGTAGAGTTCGCCGGTGTGCCATGTTCAGCCCCTCACTTTCTTGCATGTGCACATGCGCTCTCAAGGGATTGAATGAACACAAGACCACTGGACAGGAAGGATCAGATTTCTCAAAGCTCTTGCATGTCCGGATTTCAACCAGAGGTTATTCCTCTGGTGAGCCTAATCTGCATTCCTGGAACGTTTGTGGATTCAAAAAAAAACAACTCTCTTTAAATTCAGGTGTCATAACGTTGAAAATCATATAATCAAATGAGTGCATCAAAAATCTGTGACTTGGCTGTTAATATTCTTTGATGATTTGTGATGTACTTGGATGGGGCTTGATGGAGCTAGTTGATACATTCTAGGAAGATCCACAATTTTGAGGATAGATAATCTTCAATGGTGAAGACATCACACCTTCATCTGCTCCCCTTTGTTTGCCTAGAATATAGCCGACTTGAACACCTATTAATGGCTGATCCATACGAAGGTCTCCCATATATAACATTGAAATCTGTGTTTAGCTGGTTCAAGCCAGGAGCTACCAGGAGTGAGGGGGATATTTCTGGGATTGGTGGCGGATCAGGATGCCCAAGGCAATAGGTCCTCTTGCTCCCATTTGCCCTACTGTGTCACACCCTTGGTGTATGTAGACAGCTTCTTGGCCCTTTGATGACATACCAAAAGTACACGAGAGGTGCACCCGCCAAGCCTCCATTCTCAGGGCAAGGCGTGAAGGTCTTCTCCCCAAAACAAGTCGGTGTGGGTTAGCTGGTTCTTCCTACTCTGGGATTCATGAGAAAACAAAGTGCTAGTAGTTGTGGAAATCACTTGCAAGCGTCTCCCTTCATCTCAGTAGACTTGATGCTATGCTGACATAGGGGCTAGCTCAATATGCCCACTCTTCTGGACATGATTTTTCCTGCAAATTTGGTTTTCATGATCTTGTTGTCATTCGAATAAATAAGCATCTTTCTCTCTTACACCGAAAAAAAAGGCAACATACGAAACACAACAGCCAGAAGAAAAGGGCACGAGGCATGTGAAAGAAACAGAAACAACGAGAAGAAAGAGCACAGGTTAAAAGACGACGGATTGGAAGCAAAGTCGTCATTTCTTCGTACATATTTCGGGAGACTGTTTGGTATTCTTAGTCGTTGTAGCTACGAAAGGGATGGCAGTGTTGCCCAACGGAGAAGCATGATGTGGTATATAGAAACCGTCTGCCCAAGAGATGGTCATTTTGGTGGGAGGAGGGGGGGGGGGGGGATTGTACAACATACAGATGATTTATTTACACATGGAGCTACTGTTGGAGTAGGGATGGAGCCGGTGTATAATTTATTTTTACTTGAAGAGGTGGGGCGAGCGCCGCTTGACGATTTTGAAGAGTTTGAAGGGAGATTTTCGAGCACTGCTGTGGCTTTCGCTCGACGAAGATTCCCCGGTGATGGATGGCATAGACTCGGTCGGACTGGAAGGAATGCTTTCAAGCTTATAGTCTGAGGACTGCGACATCCTGTCTGAAGCCTGTGGTACCGGACAGTAGAGAGTCCCGTTGGAGACCTGGAAGACCGTCCAGTAATCCGCCCTCCTCGGTGAGCCGTAACTGCCGTCTTCGCGTAAAGCTGGGATACTGAAGACTTCCAAGGAACAAGGAATCTGTGATGGATATTCTTGTTTCTCTCGAGCATCTGACAAAGTTTCTGTGCCTTCGTCAAACTTTCCCTATAGGCAAAAATAACGAACCAAGTACAAGTTAGAAGCCCTGCCGCCGTCAACACAGTCCCTCAATTTTCAGCCTAGTAGAAGGTGACTGACCAAATGCAGGAGGCACATAGCACGATTGAACAGTATCTCGCAAGAATATAAACAATAGTTCAGGCCTGCTTCTTGGCAATCAATATGAGAGCGGTCACCCATGAGCTGAAGAAATGTTTTGATCAGCCCGTGACTTTCCAACCAGGCATTAGAGGTAAATAAGTAGATTGAGTGATGGTAGACTCACCAAGAAAGCTATCGAGAAATTCTTGTGGGCAGATTCGTATTCTTCAAGGGAAAAGAGGATGGCCCCAAGTTGGAAGTATTCTACGACGGAGGCTGATTCATCAGTGACTGCCGCTTGGAAGCAGTCGACGGCAGATTGATAATCTCCCAAGCCAGTCTGGATCATCCCCAGATTGAAAAATATCTTTGGCGAGCGGGATATCATCTAAAGTTGCCCAAAAGGAAATCAGATCAGACTACTCAACATTGCATTAGATTTCGACTTCTGATGCTAGAGAAGAACCTACCTCGAAGACGTAGAGGGATCTATCCAAATCTTGGTCATCGAAGTATTTGAGAGCCCTCATCCAAGTTCGATAGGTGTGGTTTTGGTAGTTCATTTTCTGTTGAATATAGAAAGACACAGGAACGAAGTATATAAATAAAGAAAGTGGTCAGTCGAAGGATTGTTGGGGACTTATGTATACGAAATCAGAGCAGATAATCTATGACGAAATGCTTGCAATTATGGATGGTATGTATGCTGCGGGTGCTAGAGAAAATTAAGGATAGGAGAACCGGTAACGCTGCCAACGATTAATGAAGAGCATATATAGACCGGAGTCGAAGTCATAGTGAGGTGCTGCACTGCCGTCTGACTTCTCAAAATCAACAGATAAACATTACAAAATGGAATCTTTAGGTAAACAGACGATTATCAGCACTCGCGGGTTGTTATGGTCCATGAGATTGAAGTTTATCGTTTTTTTGGTTCGGCTGAGCCCCGGCTGACAGCACATGGCTCAGGCAAAGCAGCAAGCCTGAATCTAGGCGCTCGCTACCCAATGCATAACACTGGCAGATCACGGTCGCTAGGAAATTGAATTAATATTTTACGTCAAGAGAAAGTGCATGTACATATTCACTTGATCCAAGGTGAAATAAGTTTACAGCGAGTTATGAAAGGTCAAGGAAGATGAGGCTAATGACACCGAGCCAATAAATCTGCAAGACAAGGAAGGCCGCCGCCTGGCCTCCTGGCAGCCCATGCAGAGAGCTTTGTTCGGGCATTTTGCCAACCTTGACCCCCAGCCTCCAGGAACGAACAAATTTTGAATAGCAGGCCGTTCCCAGTCGTTGATTGGCAAGTTGTTTTGCAGGGATCGCGGTTGGCAACAGAGGCTCGGAACAACCCATGTACTGGCTTGCGGATACCGAAAGCGCTCGAGGAAGGAGCTTCAACTTCCTCAAATCCCTCCAGGCTCAAGTAAGAGCTGTCCGGGTCGTGGCCGGAGCAAACTGGCCGGTCAGCAAACTCATCAGCTTGATAATTGTGCTGAATTTGCGGCAAGCTTCAGCCGTCTGCTTTGCAATTGGGGTGTTGAGCTTGAGAGATCGGAGATTGTCTCCCGCTTCTTTGGGATGCAATCTGCATACTCAGGGCTCATCTCCATAAGGGGGTTAGCAAGCGCTCACATTCGATTGGTGGGCAAAGCACCTCAGATCCGGCAAACATGGTCATGGAGCTACTGAGCCTCACTGACACACGTTTGGAGGCGAGCACGTTCAGGGGCCAAATATCAGAGTTTTGTGCATCCATCCCATCAGAACTTTGAAAGGTGCTCAACTCCCCAAGTGCCATGTAGCAGTAGCTTGGGCTCCAACTTCCAAGCGCTGCCAGTGCCAGGGACCGATGTGACTCAGGTGTTGTACAAAGCTTGCCAATGACATTATGATGCGAACCCAAAATGGGGAGTCAAGACTCAAAAGTGATGATCGGCGATGGAGCCGATACTCAAACTTGGCCGGTTCCAGCGCAGAACTTTAAAGTTTTCTGGAATATCGACAGCGTTTCGTGCTAAACTCGGTCAATATGTGACTATTCTTTTTTGGATTGATGCGCCATTACGCTCTCGTCAACGAGTCCATTCAGTCCTGGTTATGGGCCAGTCTGGAATCTGGATGTTAAATATATGCGAGCGGCGATTTCTCACTGTTGTGACTGGTATAAAGTGAGTCTGCATCCGGCTGATGGCTTGAGGATCACTGGTCTCAGACGGGCTAAGATGTGCCATGTGTCTGTTGTCTTGACTTTCAGGCGGTTTCCCTCCGTGGGTCTTGATTCACATGGTCTGACAAGAGGCCCAAGGATGGGGGTGGAGGCCCGCTATGTAGTCTTGGACGACGCTGGCTCACAAGCTCGAGGGCTGGGAGTCGTTGGAAGCCCTTCGAACAGAAAGTCACCACCATCAATGAAGGCAAAGTTGCGACATCTCTGCCACGGAAATCACCCATCAAATCCATCTTTGTCGCACCTATGAGATGGAATAAGGGTGTACGGACAAGACCTAGCCTCAAATGACAATCACAGTCTGGGGGCCAGTTTTTGATGGATGAATTCTTAGCAGTATGATTGCAGGTCGGGGTATCGAATCAATTCAACCTCGAGAGCCGTTATTATGGCCACACGTTATACCTGCACGAGGAGTGGCAGATACTACAGAGTTTGCACCTTCTTCTTTTAATACCTCCCTTCCCTCGTAATTAAAAGAGCCAGGTGCTTCAGCCGGGGCAGGGGACCTCAGACAGAGTACGCGGAGGATCTCGGAGGACCTCCCGTCGCAGTTGATTAGGCACCTGTCCAATTTCTAACTTCCGGGAAATTTCCTTCTGATTTGAAAGACGGAAGTCTTCCAGTCTCACATGTGCTCATGCGTGATGGTCTAGAAACCATGGTACATGGTGGACTCGAATTGTAGGTGCAAAGGTCAGCTGGTGCAGGGGGGGGGGGGGCACCGGACAAAGGTTGATTGTGACGTGTCCCTGAAAGTGAGTTCAAAAGAGGAAAGCAAAACAAACATTAATTAGTGATGATTAAACTCAACTTCTTGATCCTTAACTGGTCCTTGCTATGATGAAATGTTGCACCCAACTACCTGCGTGATATGTACACACGTTTCAGAAAGCAACTTGGCAGAATAAGCGGGAAAACCCAGTTGATCTGGACGATGTCCCTGAGTTTTGGGAGTCGTTGCTCCAAAACTCAGGAGTCGTTTAACCAAGACTCTTGTTCAAAGATGGGAGTCTATGAGGGGCCCAGGACAGGTCATCGTAACACAAATGATAGTTTTATGCGCCAGTATCTTATGGAGCATATGAAATCAGGTTTCGAATCGCCTCAAGGGTGTTCCTCGAGACATTTATCAACCAAGATAGGAGACGCATTCGACCGGCAATTATGTCGCGAGAGCCTAAAAATTAAAATTAAGAAACATACCGCGCGCTTGCGACTTTGTTTGATCGAACTGATCAGACCTCTGGGCAGGTTGGATTGCGATCACTGTTTGCCGTACTTTAGTCATGAAATTGCATACTTTTGTAGGAGGGAAGGACACCACAGGAGCGATCGAGAGATCCCCCGACGTTCCCAAAACTCTGGCAAAAATCCTGCGTCCCAACAACCACTGGGACCGCAAGGGAACGTCAGGGTTTCACCGTCGGTGGTGTAACAGTCATCCGACAGGCGCCACTTGTTGACGTTGTAGCCGACCAAGATGGTTGGGACCTTCATTGTTCTTAGGACGCTTGGGTCCCTTCGACCCATGAAAAGGTGTCCAGGGAACAGTTGGTCAAACTCAGAGGTCCAGTGAATGTCAGGGTCCTACTGACGCTTCAACAGGCGTTCACGGGACAGTCATCTGAACCGGATCATTGAGATGACACTCAGATTCCCTTGACGAATTTGTGAAGCGTCCCATGACCATTCTTGAGGACCCCATCGTCGCAGGGACGATGTCGAGGACCCGATGGGCGGCCGGACGCTTAGGTTTTTTTAACTCTAACGTTGAGGAAACCAGATGGTTTGGACACAAGTGTTGGGTCTGGATGACGTTCATGTCCTTCCAGTGATGATGTCATTGAGCTATGACCTCTGAGGATTGTTTTTCCTTTTTTCAAAGTCAGCCTTTGTTAAGTTGGCTTGCGTCCCTTGAGTTCGACTTAAAACTCAGCCGACCTTCTCCCCTCTCCGCTCTTTTCCTCATCAACACTCTGTTTCCCTGCTCTTTATCACCTTCCTTCCTCACTGATTAAATTCGATCCTCCTGTGAACTTCATCATCAGATAAAAACTAACTTTGACTCCGCTTTAACTTGACTTCTCATTTGCCTCGACTCCTTTTCCAACCACCCTAGCCTCATCTAAACGTCTTTTCCCAAACTCATTGACTTCTTTTCTTTAAAATCCTCTTCAAATTTGAAAAGCATCGATCCCTTTTCTTCTTAACAACTCGATCTTGATTCAATCTTATCTATCTTCTACACCCTCAATCTACCTTGTACGAGATAACATCAGCTCTTTTGGTTTGAAACCACAACTACGATTCTTGTCCTTTCACTAACTCCTTTATTGCTGTCTATTCCCTTGTCTGAACTGTACTTGATAGTGTTGGTTATGATCTATTGAATAAAATTTCTTTCTTTCTTTCTTGTCTTGTACTCTCTTTAGTCATGTAGCTCTGGTTATCTTTCCAGCAATCAATTTCTTAACTTGTGATCCCTGATATAATAACTCCCGGTGTACACTAGAAGAACCCCAGTAAAAATCAAAACCAATCTGTTCAACAGGCAAAACCAATTGCAAAACCCACAAGGCAAGAAAATGGAACTGTCGATCGTCATCAACCGGTTCAGCAATGTGTCTGAAGGAAGATCCGTTGTGGGAATGCGATGGGGTCAAACCCCTGCAAAAAGCTGGTGCCGTTCCCAGATCATTGCAATCTGCAGATCTGTAGGAACAGAAAAGTGGCATCAATCTGTAGGAACAGAAAGGTGGCATCATCACAACCTTCCAGAAATGACGCTCTGTCATTCCCATGAGGCGCGAGGTGGCAGACAGCCTAACAACGTCAAAACGCAGCTCCTCAATCGCTCTTTACGGGCGCGAGGGGGCAGGTGTTATTGCAACGGTGTTTGATTGATCTTTTAACATTCTGTTAGTTTCCTCGCCAGTCTACCAACGTCAACGTGTCACTCGCTAAGGGTCGTCAAGACGTTGTCTGAACCCCAACCACACCAACCGCATCTTTCGATGTAATTTCTGACCGCGTCGGAACGTTGCCCCCTGCGGAAGGGGACAACGTTTGAGGAACGCTTTTGCGCGAGGTCAACCAAACGTCGAGCTGCACCGGTGGTGGACCGATGTGGCTCTAGTATCGGCCCTGTGACATATAATAGATAAGTTGTTACTTCCAGCTCCTCGTCTCAGCCTCACTCACAGTCACATCACAACAATCGCGGGCCAACCTTAATAAACCAGCAGAGTATTACAATCTTGCAGATATGGAAAAGAGCAGACACCAGAAATTTGTTATTTTCCTGTTTTTGATGGGCTGTAACGCAATTGATGACACCGTCTGCCGTCCACCTCAGCGATTGGGCAATCTTCATTCAACCCTCGTTTCCGAGCTGACTTCCGATTCATGCTCATTCAACAGCGAAGGATTCGAGGGGTCCCCTTCATCCACTCCTCTTATCAGGGACGAGGGAGGGATCAACAATGCTGTTTGGTTTCCTGCGCCGGCCGAGTTTGGGGAAAATCAAGAATCCGACTTTGATAGATCAAATCCGATCTCTCAATCAAACAAACGCTATCGCGCCGCGGAAATGTCAACAGAAACCATGAGACCAAGTCAAGTATCTCAACAGATCTCTAAAAATCAAAGCTTGGCCAGCACAAACAATTGCATGGATTTACAACCTGCTACTGTTGCTAGTGAAGCAAGACCAAAGAAATCTATCAGACTCATGGGCACTTGGATGGGACTTGAAGTGGAACCCAGTCAGTTCAATAATATGAAGCACTCACAACTGGTCAGCCAAGATCATATTTATAGGAACCAAAATGAAATTGACGAGCCTTCCGAACGGAGAAATGGTATTGGCTCGAAAAGCGTATTTAGGATGTCTTTGAATCCCCCTCGTGGAGCGACGATAGTGCCGGAGTTGATCAGTACTGAAGAGAAAGTTTTACAGTCAAGCAAGAAATGTAAGTCCGAAAGACTGAATTCTGAAAAGAAGATGTTCACTCTTGCAATAAAATCGAGAACGCAACCAGCCGAATTATCAACAAATCTCCAATTGGGAGAGCCTCAAGAGGAAGAAACGTTGGTGACGGAAAATTTGGTTGGTGCAAACTCAAGAGCCAGAGAACCAATCTGTGGATCCAAAATGTGCAGCGAAAAGAAAAACAACGTTTCAGACAGCAGACAAAAAATCAAGATAGAAGCATCTGAAATTCTTGGTAGGAATGGGAATAGTCACAACCACAATTCTGTCCCTCAAGAGAGCACAACGTCATTCAAAAGTATAAGAAACAGTGACTTCAAGAGTGAATTCCCTCAATCTATGGTAGTGGAAAACCATTTGACAGATGAAACAAACCAACATCGTCCTAGCTCGTCTTCCAATGCCTTTCAACTGAAAAACCCAAAACCAAAATCCAACCCTGAGACTGTATCAGAGAAAGTTGTTAATAAATATTATTCCTCTCAGGCTTTAAATTGGTTTCCAAATCAAGTGAGTAAGAAAGCTTCATTTGGTGCACATGCCCTAGCATATCAGCTTCTTCAAATCAATATTGATCTACACACCAAGAAAGCTCTGGAAAGAATGCACAAATCACATGGTATACTCATTCCCTTCACCTATAACCTGCTTCTGAAGGATTTATCTATGGGAAATTGGACAGGAATTAAGGAGGTCTGGGAGATATTCTGGAGAAATTGGGCTTATTCACAAAGGGAAAGCTCAGATGAAGAAATCCTCCGTACTTTTCTTTGGATCTCTGATTATATTTCTGAAGTCACAAGTCCAGATTTATTTTTATCATATTGGAATGAAAAACAAAGAAACTCACAAATCATAAACAAAAATTGTCATGCTGCAATTATCAGAAAGGTATCTTCAGGAAGCCTTTTCCACCACATGATAACTCCTGGTACAATAAAAAATGTCAAAGAAGTTGCAGAAATTTGCCTCCAGGAACATTCAATGATCGATTTTCAAAATCTAGATCCTTTCAAAAAGATTGAAATTCACAACTTTGTCTTGAAAAAATTAGGAGAAATCAGTAATAAAATAACTTCCAAAGTTGAAACTGAATTGATGGTTTGCTTTAGGGACTTACTAGATAAAAATGGATCAAATTGCGCAGCATATGTAAAAAACATTATGTTCATCAAGGGGAAAATAATTACAGGTGGAAAACTACGTAGAAAATTCCCACCATTACTCAGATGTATATTTGATCAAACATTAGATGATGGATACACAGTAGGATCTTATGATGGTTATTCTCAAAAGGAGATAAAACAAAATAGCTTCCCAGAGGTTTTTATCCAGAAAATGGAAAAATACAGGTTTTGTACTGAACATAAAAACAATCCTGAAAATCACAAATTTCTACCTGCAAAAATAAGAGAACTTTTGTTTCACATTAATGAATGAGAAAAACAAATTACATGCCACCTTTTTAGAAAATTATCAAAATTAATCATTATTCAATACAATTAATTTTATTTTGTTTTTTTGAATAGATACACTAAGGAAGGGCCTCTATGCTGAAAGAAAGGAAACCCCCAGTGTATTGGAGATAAGCCTGGGTACATTCAATAATTGCCTTTCTAGAAATACTAATAAGGTATTTATTAGAAGAAAAGTAATCCATTCATCTATCTTTTTTTGGAAAGCCATTTCCATTATTTGATACAAAATTGGACCCCCCCCCCCTGCCCCTGTGTACACCCCCTGCAAAATGCTTTGTACATCTCACTTTTTTTCTTTCTCAAGAAAGTAGAATTCACAAATTTTAATTCTTGAAATCAACAGAGAATCCCTTTTTCCCCTGAAAAGAAATATTGAGACTATCTGAGCTTATCTGAATCTGATGAGTAATAAAAAATGGGTCAGCATTTTTGCACTCCAAGAAAAACCCCCGCGCACACCAAAAAAGGAGTGCACACCAAGAATTCTTGGAGTGCACTTCCAGGCACTCCAAAAATTCTTGGTGTGCACAGCACGGTTTTTTTGGAGTGGATGATTGTGCACTCCAAGAAACCTGGAGTGCATGGCTGTGCACTCCAGGTTTCTTGGAGTGCACAACCATTGAGCTACAGCCATCATGATCTCTAGTATCCCTATTGCGGTATCTATCACGATCACGCCCATGGTCTCTTTCACTACGCTCGGGGTCGCTTTCATCATATTGACTGCTGCGTTGAGCATAGCGGCTACCGCACTCTGCAGTCCGTTCTGGATCATCATCTCGTTGATGCCTTTCTTCACTATTGAGAAATTCATGTAAAATGCATGTGAGCTTGGAAATATGCAACAGGAATGGCAACGACAACAGAGAAGGGGTAAAAAATGACTAAACAATGAGGGGAGCGAGATCTGCGATGTGGCTGTTTGTCATCGCGCGATTGGTGTGATGATCAATGTCCTAGCAGATGATCATGACGAAGTCAAGAGATTGAAGTACGAGATGATCAATCGGAGCCTTGATGAGTGGGTT